ATATATATATATATATATATACTTTTCTTATTTAAACCGAAATATGCTAAGTATCGACAGATGTGATTTCTTAAGAATAATATGAAAGTATTTTGTTTATAAGCAAAAATTATTCAAGCGTGGCAAAATTATAAGTCGCGCTTAAATATGTGAGAGATTATTTTATTTTTTCATAAGCTTGATTTGTATGAATTCGTTAAACGATTAAGATTGTATTCAAAATAGAATCTTATTAATTCTATACCATTGTCATAAATTTCTGAGGTAATATTATTGACTAACCACAACATATGATGTAATAAAGACCTCTCCTAAATAACATGATTTCAATATCGTTTATCCTTGTTTATTTCATTTCACATGACGTGGAGATATCTCATTTGTGAAATTCCACTCGTTGTCAGATATGACGTAGTAGTTACAGAATACATTTATAAGAAGTTACTGTGTCTGTTTAAATCAAAGATGTGATAACAGTAATTCTGTTACTATCCCTTACTAAAGTTGTGACTAAGTTCTCTTAGTTATAGTTTTACCATTCATATAATTTTATGAATAAATTATTGAATAATTTACAAAATTAGGTTGTAAAGTGTAATATAAGTGTCTAAAAGAATTTCTAGAAACATAAGTATTTAAACGAGTTTAAAAAATAAACAAATATTTAAATAAAAATGTCAGTAATAGTAACTTAGAAATACTTCGTATATTAAGGTAAGTTATATCTTATTTTTTTATTTTTTATTCTATATTATATTATAATATAAGTATAAATCGTTGAAGGAAAAATTTAAACTTGTTTTAATTATGACTTAATTTAACCGTAGATCAAGTTTGACATAAACATCTTTGCATAAAATATATCTTCAAAAATTATACGATATTTAATTGTTTTAATAATACAGTTTTTAGACAGAATCATTTTGGAATATAAATATTGTTATAGAATATGGTTATATTTTATAAAACTATATTATATACTTATATACATTAAAATAGAAAAAGAAATACATGTAAGAAATTTTTTTATATCCATTTTTTTCCGTTAGTAGTGCATGTCTTTCAACGATGGCAAGATATTTTATTGTAGTAAGTTAAATGAAAGTATTGTTAAATGAAAGTGTTATTTCAATTACTGTTTCATATTATCACTATTTCAATTCTAAAAGTGTAAAACTAATTCAACTATAGAAAACAGATCTACTTCTGTCAATATTTTGTAATTAATTTAACATAAATTCTACTTGTCAATATTATATGATTTAACGTAAATTCTATTCTTACAATTTCTAAAATCTAAATCATCGCGTTCACGATACTCAAAATGGAGATATAATAGCATCGATGATTTGGTTCCGCCATTTTGCTTCAAAACCAATGACAATTTTGACAAGATTGATGCGACTTTCTTGTAGAGACTCTATCAGTACCTATTAACTTTTTTGTTTCTCTTTCTCTCTCTCCTAAACATATTTATCCTACACATAAAGTATTCTAATATATAAAAATTATGTAACATCTTTATTCATAATTAAATAGAATAAAATAAGATAGATAGAGTTATATTCTAAACAAAATAAAATTTGTGAACAGTTTTTTATCAATTTTTTTTACTAAACTATAAATATTATTTACATCTGATTATTAATTATCGCATAAAAAGGGAATAATAAAAAATCGATGATTTTAATTTAAATAATCTCTTTTCTTTCTCTCTCTTTCTCTCAAGAATAAAAATAAATATATTATTACAAATAAAAAATCGCATAATGTATTGTTATAAACATATTTTACAATAAATAAAATGCCAAACGCGGCTAATTGTAAGAGACATTAAAATCGTATAAATATATATATATATATAGTAAATACAACTGCTTTTGTCGTATTATACACAAATTATCTTATAATTATTATTTATTATGCCATCTCTTGTAGACAGATAGATCAGATAAATGGAAAAGTTCTTTAGCAATTTACAAGTTTCTTTAACAAATAATGAGAAATTAATTAATAGAAATCCATAAATCAGTGTCATATGATTTCATAAAAAAGACAGATTAACGTTTTCGATTGCTATGGCATGTAGTAAAGCATTGGAAAAAGCGCTCTACAAGCAATAACGGTTATACATGTGTAAAGTGGAAATAATACTATTTATAGAAAGTAAATAATATTTTTTATATCGTAAGATTATTCTCTGTTAGAAAACGTTGGAAGCGCGAGGACTAAGCGTCATTCATGTGTAATTGCTTGAGTGCTCTTTTCAATGCATTGTTGCAACCAAAAACGCTGAGCTGTCTCTTTTTATCGAATTGCTCAAACGTCAGCAAATTAATGTTTATACGTTTATAATGTTTAACAAATATTTATTAACAATTTCTCAATTTCTCTTAATTATTAAGAAACTCGCAAAATAATAAAAGATTTTTTTATTCAGTTTAATTCGCTTTACTTGCCTACGAGTAGCATAAAAATTATATGTATATGAAGAACAAGATCACCAATATCGACATATCACTTTCTCTTTGAACAATATTTCTTACACAAAAGCTAAAAATAAAACTTTAGAAACATAAATACAAATTAGAAAGTGTTTCCTACCAAATAATATTTTTTGTAATAGTATTATAAAAATCGATGATTTTAATTTAAATAATCTCTTTTCTCTCTCTCTCTCTCTCTCTCTCTCTCTCTCTCTCTCTCTCTCTCTCTCTCTCTCTCTCTCTCTCTCTCTCTCTCTCTCTCTCTCTCTCTCTCTCTCTCTCTCTCTCTCTCTCTCTCTCTCTCTCTCTCTCTCTCTCTCTCTCTCTCTCTCTTTCACACACACACACACACACACACATATATATATATATATATAGTAAATATAACAATGCTTTTGTCGTATTATACACAAATTATCTTATAATTATTATGCCATCTCTTGTAGACAGATAGAACAGATAAAACTAATTTATAATAGTGTTTTTATAATACTATTTGTAATTTTGCAATAATTAACTTTTTCACAAGATAAGCAAAAATTAACATCTGACATAATGAGTCCCAAAATTAAGTGCATAGTAGGCAGTAATGCCACATATTCCAATTCTTTTTCTCTCGCAGGAGTCTGAACAAAATACCTACAAATAAATGTATATAAAATTTTTGAGAATTTTTTGACTTTGATATAAAATATTTTCTGTTGATTTATATACTTTATACTGTTCTGCTAGATGCAAATATTTAACGCGCACTTTATTTTCTTAAAGATTTTCTCACAAATGAACAATTGCCTTCAACTTTGATAAGACAATTTGATATTATAAGACAACATATAAAATAACTTATAATCTGTCTTCAATCTTCGCAAATCTGTTATAGAAACTTCTCGATGTAAATTTATAACAATTATTGAATGGTTTCTGGTAGGCAAGAATTATTATAACAAAATGTTTTAGAAACTTTAGTATTTAATTAAAAAAAATAAAAATAAAAATTATTTTGCAAAAAAAATATTCTTTAATAATGTAAGATACAATAGCGATAGTGAGAGTCGCTCGCCGGAATCGGCCCAAAATGTGTGTCTTTGCGAGCACTGGCTTAGATAAATAATTAATCTTACATAAACTGTTTATATAACACATTTTTTCATGTACGATTAATATAATAGAATAATTTTACATTTCTTGTTACAGGACGTTATATCACGTAACTTGAATTGACAAAAACTAAAAAAGGAAAGTTAAAAATATCTCTAATTCATACAAAATGATTATCACTTTATTTATATTCAGTACTCTTCTTATAATATTATATAAACTCTTTCATTTTGTAAAATTCGTAAGACAGATTAATAATATACCAGGTGCACCAGCATTGCCATTTATCGGCCACGTGCTAAATTTTTTTTGTTCACAAGGCAAGTAAAATTATTTATACGTAGCGGTTACTATGTATTAATGGTTAGATCATATGGTGTTGAATAATATGCAAAGAATATTAGAAACATTTATAGTTATTAATTTCCATTTTTGTTTCTATGCAAGTATTTATTAATTTTAATTTTTAATTAATTTTTTGTTCCAAATGTATTTAAATATCAAAAAGTTAATATTATAATTATGTCGTAGGTATTATTACTTATATATAGGTATATAACTTAAAATACATTCTTTTTAAGAAATAAATTCTCTTAAAAACGTTTAAATAAACATTAAAAATTAATAAATTTGATTAATATGCACGCAAAAAATGATTATCCACGAATAATCTGAAATTTATATCATTCGTTTTTCTAAATTGTATATTTTTTATATTTTAGAAGATCTATGGAAGCTTCAACGTCAACTTTGTAAAGAATATTATCCAATTTATAAACTTTGGTGCGGTCCAATTGCTTTCGTCAGCATTCATCATCCAGATGATCTAGAGGTAAAAAAAGTAGAAAACAAATTAATCTTTATATTACGTATCTCGTGTTGACAAAAATTAAACGGAAAAACAAAAGTTGAAGAGATTTTTAAATCATATAGAATGATTATAACTTAATTTTTATCGTTATAATATTATATAAATCTCTTTCAGTTTACAAAATTTGTGCTAATATTATATAATAGAGGAGAACTGATAATATATTGTAATAAAGAAAGTGGTATTATGGCCAATATATACATATATTGAGGCCTCCCTTAATATCTCCGCTATTATATAGTGAATCCTAATGATTACTTATGTAATTATTTGTTCAGTAGTTCGTCGTTATATGACGCTAATATATCAATACTCAACAGCCAGCACTTATTATAACGCATTTTTACTATTAAGAATTTTGAAATGTTTCTGAGGTACATTTTAGAATTTAATTACACATAGTATTTTTAAGTATGTTATTTGCTACTTAACATTTTATTGACATTTTATTTGACTGTATATATTTTGAGTTATGCAAATTTAAACAATAGCATGGCATTTTACTAATGTGGTCCTCTGGGTATTGATTACTCACCTTGACCTCTTTTTTGAGGTTTTCATATTGAGATTTTTAGTACTGTGAGCAATTTATATACAGAAGTTATGTGAATGTATATATATATAGCATGTATGCAAATGAATGTATATACATT